TTTTGTCCCGTAACGCTCGCCGTACTGTTGGGGGGGAGGAAGTTCATGTTGCTGCGGTCTGCAGTCTGAACGTTAGATGTCACTGAAAATTACACACTGTAGCTTTAAATAGTATTTTTTGACTAAAGGGAAACATCCGTTGAGGTAGTTTAAAGTCTATTGTTCATACAAAACTAAAGGGATAAAACACAAATCTGACGTCTTGCGCATGCGTATCGACTATGGGTATGCTGGTCTGACGGGGTATGCTCATCTGACAGAACACCGGCCCGACTCTACTCAACCTGCGGGTCGGAGAGACTGTTCTCTGCGCCTCGTTGGCCGATCAAACAAAGAGAAGAGCTTTCATGAGTAGGAACTTTCTGGATTCATCACAGAACTCCTGATCCGGGTCTTAAATGGGTTCCGTTCTCCCCGATCAGCAAGTGGAAGAAAACCCACCAGAACCGAGTTCAGAACAACATGACTTCAACCCCAACAGAGGAGAGAAGTTTGTTTGTAGCTGATAGGAAACCTGGGTTCAGCTTGGTTCTGAAGCTCCTCCCTACTTTGAACTGGATTAAACCGGACCGCTAAGGAGAACTGATGATTCTGTGGAAAAATACTTAAAACAACATAAAGAAAAAACCAGGAAGTGAAAGTTCCTGTTTCAACCTCAGAACTTTCCCAACCAAACCTCTGATGTGTCTTCATTTAGAAAGCCTGAGGAACCGGACCTTTAGAGTACCTCTGAGCTGCCAGCGGCTGCTGATTCTGACCCGTTGCCTTCAGAACCCAGAAGCTGCATCGGGTCTACTAAAAGCTCTGATTCTACACAGAGGAGAACCTCCATGTTCTTCTCAGGTTAAAGTTTTTAACACCCGAGTTCTACAGGAAGTTCCAGAACAGGAACAGTTCTGGATCACCTGGTTCCCGGTACCAGAACCAAACCTCTGCAAAAACAAAATGGAGTCCACATGTTTACTGGTTTCTACGTGAGTTTGCTTAACCCTTGCTTTCCTTTGGTGTTGGTTTCAGAACCACCTGGTTCTGCTTCCTGCAGCTGAAAGGCTGAGGTCCGACATGGAAGAGTTTAATAGTAAAGCAGTAGAACTTTCTGGACTCACCCTCGTTCTGGATCCAGGGCGATCGCTCTCGGCTGGTCCAACTCCTGCCAAAACAGAACCTTCCTCAAAGACCCGTCCAGTTCGGCCACCTCTATCCGATTGGTGTCCGAGTCCGTCCAGTACAGTTTCTTCCCTAACCAGTCACACGCCAGTCCGTCCGGGGCGGCCAGGCCCGGCACCACGGTCTCGGCCGCGCTGGCGCCGGACTGGTTGAAAAAGGTCCGTTTGATGGCCTCCTCGCTGACGTCGCTCCAGTAGATGAGGCCCTGGGCGTAAACGTAGTCCACGGCGGCGGCGTCCTCCAGGCCGCCCACCACAACCGTGGCGTTGGCCTTCTCGTGCGCCACATCCACGATCCGAAGGTCCCGGCGGTTGGCGTAAAGGAGCAGCGGCTCGCCTGGTACCAACAGAGACAGGAAGTGTTAGGAAGAAACAGGAAGTACAGCAGGGTTGTTATGGTTACAGAACCTTTACAGACGCAGAGATAAACCCTTGAATGAAGGTGAAACTCAAAGAAGAATTTCAACCCAAACGCATCGTTCAGAACCAACATCTGGACCTAGAATCGCCTGCTGGATGAACTCCGGACTCCATCCACCGGCAGCCAGAATTCATTCTGGATCATCAGATGGTGCATCTCTGCAGAGCAATAATCCAGGTCAACTACCATGAGGTCTTCCATTAGTTCTCTACTGTTCAGATAGTTTTATATCCAAGAGAAACATATTCCAGGACTTTACAACTTTTTTTATGCTTTTTTGGTTCTATATTACGACAGAGTATTAGGGCCAGGCTAAAGATTCTCCTTCGATTTCAAGAATAAAGTCGTAACATTACAAGAATAAAGTCGTTAAATTAGGAGAATAAAGCCAAAATATTACGAGAAAAAAGTCACGAGAATAGTCATAAAATTAAGAGAATAAAGTCATAACATTACAAGAATAAAGTCGTTAAATTGGGAGACTAAAGTCGCAACAGGAATAGTCATAAAATTATGAGAATCAAGTCGTAACATTACAAGAATAAAGTCGTAAAAAAATTAGGAGAATAAAGTAGCAACAAGAATATTCAGAAAATTATGAGAATAAAGTAAAATTACGAGAATAAAGTCATAACATTACCAGAAAAAGGTCACAATGAGAATAGTCATAAAAATACGAGAATAAAGTCGTAACATTACAAGAATAAAGTTGTTAAATTGGGAGACTAAAGTCGCAACAAGTATAGTCATAAATTTACGAGAATAAAGTCGTAATTTTACGAGATAAAAGTCACAACGAGAATAGTCATAAAATTACGAGAATAAAGTCGTAACATTACAAGAATAAAGTTGTTAAATTGGGAGACTAAAGTCGCAACAAGAATAGTCATAAATTTACGAGAACAAAGTCGTAATTTTACAAGAATAAAGTTGTTAAATTGGGAGACTAAAGTCGCAACAAGAATAGTCATAAATTTACGAGAATAAAGTCGTAACATTACAAGAATAAAGTCGTTAAATTGGGAGACTAAAGTCGCAACAAGAATAGTCATAAATTTACGAGAATAAAGTCGTAACGTTACAAGAATAAAGTCGTTAAATTGGGAGACTAAAGTCACAACAAGAATAGTCATAAATTTACGAGAACAAAGTCGTAATTTTACGAGAAAAAAAGTCACAACGAGAATAGTCAGAAAATTATGAGAATAAAGTAAAATTACGAGAATAAAGTCGAAAAATTACGAAAACAAGGTCATAACATTACCAGAAAAAAGGTCACAACGAGAATAGTCATAAAAATACGAGAATAAATTCGTAACAATATGAGAATAAAGTCCTACAATTATGGGAAAAAAGTTGTATTCTATTACAACCCTTAAAAAAAGCACTTTCTTCACTAAAATGAGGAATGTTGAGCACCATGTTAAGTTATACTTTAGCTCTGGTTTGACAAATAAGGAAATCTTTTAGCACCAGCATCATTGGACAGCAAGTGGACTCTGGTTGCTGATTGGTGGAGCTGTTCTGAGCTCCAAGCTTTCTTTCTGAAATGGGTTGCTGTATGCCGACTTTATTCTCGTAATGTTACGACTTTAAAAATAATCTCTAGCCTGGCCCTAATACTCTGTGGTACTATATACACTCTTTTTATATCGTTTTACCAATAATGGCATCTTGCTTTAACTTTTACTCTATATAAGCTACTGGAACCAGAATTTCCCTGAAGAAATAATCCCAAAGAGAAAATAAAATCCAGTCTAATCCAATTCAACTTTATTTATAAAGCATTTTAAAATTTCTCCAAGGACTAAGGGGCTGTACAGTGAAACATCATAACGCCATTACACAGACTCAAAAAAACCATCCAAGCTTAAAAAAATAATATCAGGACTATAAAATCTATAATAAAATTAAAATAAAAGTAATTTAAACGTATCACAGACTAAAATCAACATCTCACACAGTTTAGAAAGCCGAGGCAAAGAGAGGAGTTTTTAAGAGCGATTTCAAATCAGACAAAGAAGCAGACAATTTCATTTGCAATGGAAGGTCGTTAAACTTTTCTGGAGCTGCCACAGAGAAAACACGATCGCTTTTAAGCTTCTGCATAGCTTTTGGCACCTGAGTCTAAGTCTGTCTAATTTCCACTCCACGGACCTGGGAGATCCACCCGCCTTCAGCTGATCCATCAAACGGGCTCCTATTGAAGCGGAGAAGCTAACAAACTGTTTTTAATGAAGAGATGGGCCTAAAGGCCCAAACATTAACAATTTAAATCTGAGCAGGAAGGTTTGCTTCTGAAGCACGGTGGAGGTTCCATCATGGTTCGAGGCTGCGCTGAAACTGATCAAAACAGAAGCTGGATTAGGAGATTATCCCACCAGAAGAGAAGAAGGAACCATGAGGGACTCGGTGGAAGCAAGGAGAACGTTTAGACCAGAGGAACTGATCTCCGTCCCTAAGGAATGAAGCACTCAGACCCCTAAGCTCACCTGTGACCCGTTTCCTCCCTGCTCCTATGGAACCAGAACCCCTCAGCTCCAATCATAATGACCTGGAAATCAGAACTGATTCCAGATTACATTCATTTTAATCTGGAATCAAATATTTAACTCTCCTCTCTCTAGGACCAAGATGAAAATTTACCAAACTTCCTGTTTTTCTTTTGTTAAGCACCAGTGCATGAAATGGGAATTCTTTTACTCCTGCTGTGTTTTTCCTGCATATCCTTTCTGTTTTCCAGCAGAATGATGCAGATGCTTCACAGGAGCTGAATCTCAGGGTTTTCCAGCAGTCTGTTTGTTCCTGCAGGAATATTTACAACTATTGATGTTTCTCTGCTGCCTGATTATATCAGGAATGTTCTGGAAAACTGATTTTTAAACATGAATAAAGTGATGCCCTGTTTGGATCAACCTTAAAACCCAGCACATTAAGCAGCAGGTTTGTTAGTTAGCAGATTGCAACCTGTTAGCTCTGATGCTAACTAGCTTCCATAGCTCCTGTTGTTGTTTCCCCAAATCCATATTAGCTCCAGAAAAATAAAAAAAATTCACCGAAATTTGTCAGAAACCGATCAAGACCCTTCAATCCACGACAGAACCGGGACCAGAGGCTCGATTTGGGAGCAGAATTCCCAGGAAAAAAGCCTTTTCCAGAACAAACAGGCAGTTAGCTTGATGCTAGCGATAGCACGGCCTGGAACTTCAAACACAAAACCTGAATCCAGACGGAAACATCCCGGGCCGAACTTCCAACACCCTCCAACCCAGAACCTCACCTGAAATGAGCCAGCAGGAACCAAATAACAGCAGGATCCGAAAAGACATTCTCATCTTTCTCCCGATCCTGGGCCCAGCCGCCGCGGATCCCTAGCGCAGGATTCCCAGCATTCCCATCATGGCTGCGGCCGCTTCCTCTCAACAAAAACACGCTTAGGTTCGGTTCGGATCAGGCTCGGGTCGTCCCGCTATCCATCACGGGGTTCTGTTCGCTTCTAAATCCGATACAGCGTCTCATTTCGTCCCGCAGGATCCTCGGTGTCCTTCCGCTGCTGCTGCTGCTGCTGCTCCTGGTGCTGCTGGTGGTGCTCCTCCTCCTCCTCCTCCTCCTCCTCGGCTCTGCTTTCTATTGTTGTTCTGCCGCACACTGGCTGCGCACCGCCGCAACCAAAACCACCGCAAACCATCCAGAACCACGCAGACCACAGCATCCGGTTTAATCATCCAGGTGGAGACTGCTTGATCTTTTCAATGGGCTCCGAGAACACAGGGGCCTGAAATGCATGGGGGCCAAACCACAGTGCAGGAATGCTGGGGGCCAAAAACACAGAGTGGATGGGTGTCAGAAAGAAAGAACCCTGGGCCAGAAACACCATATAGTACGGAAGAGGTTTCGGGCCACTGAAAAACAAACATTTTATTTCAGTATAATATGTTAAAAAAAAAAAAAACTTTGATCTCAGACTTCTGACTTTAATCTCAGATTTCTGACTTTAATCTCAGATTTCTGACTTTAATCTCAGAATTCTGACTTTTTCTCTCAGTATTCTGACTTTAATCTCAGATTTCTGACTTTAATCTCAGATTTCTGACTTTAATCTCAGAATTCTGACTTTAATCTCAGACTTCTGACTTTAATCTCAGAATTCTGACTTTGATCTCAGAATTCTGTCTTTTTTCTCAGAATTCTGTTTTTTGTTCTCAGAATTCTGTCATGAATCTCAGACTTCTGACCATAATCTCAGAATTTAGATTTTTTTTTCTCAGAATTTTCATGTTAATCTCAGAATTCTGACTTTTTCTCTCAGTATTCTGACTTTAATCTAAGATTTCTGACTTTGATCTCAGATTTCTGACTTTTTTCTCAGAATTCTGACTTTAATCTCAGGTTTCTGACTTTTTTTTTTAGAATTCTGCCTTTAATCTCAGAATTCTAACTTTTTCCCTCAAAATTCTGAATTTAATCTCAGAATTCTGACTTATTTTCTTAGAATTCTGACTTTTTTCTCAGAATTCTGACTTTAATCTCAGAAATCTGATTTTTTTTTTCTCAGAATTCTGACTTAATCTCAGAATTCTGACTTTTTTCCTCAAAATTCTGAATTTAATCTCAGAATTCTGACTTATTTTCTTAGAATTCTGGCTTTAATCTTAGAATTCTGAATTTGATTTCATATTTCTGACTTTAATCTCAGAATTCTGACCCTTTTCTCAGGATTTTGACTGAATTCTGACAGCTAACATGTAAGCATCAAGTCGTAGCCATGTCTTTTTTAGAGACTAGCTCTCTTGTTTTAATCACTCAGCTCTTCTATTAATGAAATAGCATCACCAGGGAACCCTGGGCACATAAAAAGTCACCTTATCCCGTACTTTTATATATGTCACTGGCCCTCCTAAACAACTCACATCTTTGTCAGTGAAGCTGAGTGCTCCCACATCTCTTCATTCATGGTGCCCATCTACATTACGATCCACAATTCTGAGATTAAAGTCAGAATTCTGACTTTTTTCCATATTAAACTGAAATATCTAAAAACCAGTTAACTGTTTTTGTTTGTTTGTTTGTTTGTTTTTTCCCAGCGGCCCTAATCCTATAATAAAGTATAATAATAATAATATAATAAAATATATTTAGTTATTTTAAAAATAAAATAACAAAATAGACACTGTATTTCACAGTGTTGTTGTTTTTTTTCTTCGGTTCAGACAACAGGACATGTCTCCACAGACTAAGGTCTTCAACAGTCGGTTCAGATTTTCTTCTTAGTATAAAAATAATATATTTTACATTCATCCGACATGCGAATCCACTGATGATTCAGTTTATAGAGAAAACAAGGGGAAAATGTTTTCAAAAATCACAGTTTTTTTTTATTGTTACAACAAAACAGTAAATTCCAACGTTATGTGAACGCATCACTTGACAAAACTGCACCAAACTATAACCATCCATGTCAGAGTTTAGAGTTAAACTGAAACAGTGATCAGGCTGCTGCTGCCACCTGCTGGAGAGATACCGCAACAGCAAGCGGTCTGAAACACACATCCAGTACAAATATGTTAGATATAAGAAAATAGTGCGCTGAGCTATGACAGTCAGTCAGATATCTCTAAAGAAGCTGATCATAGTTATCAAAAACACACAATACAATAGTGCATCAGTTTATAAAGGATTGCATCAATGGTTGGAATCCTTGTGCAGTGAAAATACAAAAACACACAGTGAATGTGACATCTACAGTGAACCTGTGGGTTCAGAGGTCACCACAGGCCCGTACGGCTGGAGAGGACATGCAGAAGCGTGCACGACGGATTCTGATCTCCACCAGGTTTCTCCACTACAGAAGCTTCCTGAGTGTCGATGAGTTAAAAGTATTGCTGTTTGGTCTTCTTCCTCAGTCACTTAGAAAGAAACCTGGAGGCCATGTGCAGGTTCACGTCCAAAAGTCTTAAACCTTTTCAAAGGGGAAAAAGCGGCAAAGCAAATCAGCATAAACATTTACAGTTAAAATCAAAACAAGATCATAAATCCTTTCTAGAGAAGACCCAAAGCTGATCACCAGGGTGTCAATCGGTCTCAGACAGATGTTAGACTGAACACCTTTCTTCTCCGGTTTGTGAAAGAAACAAACTCCTTGAGATTGCATCATAATTTAAAGAACTTCACTGAATTATTTCCAACAAATATTAGATTAATATTCATCCTTAGGAACAAATCCTACAAACTGGGCAAACAACATATAAAGAAATTGAGAGTTGGAAATGATTTGGTTCATAAGAAGCTGCAGCTGTTAGTACTGTTGCCTCATGGCAAGGCTTTGAGTTCTGGTTTTGAATCCCAGCTGGGTTTTAGTGGCACATTTCATTGCATGTATGTTAGGGTTATCTCCGGTCTCCTCCCACAGTCCAACGATATGCATCTTATCAGTCTAAGTGGCCGTTGCATGGTCATCCGTCCTGTGTCTCTGAAGATGAAACGATGAGGCATGCCCCCCAATGTATATGCATGTTTGATGGGGTGTGTGGCTGCCCTAAAGTACGGAAAGTGATTTATAGATTTATTCTAAATCCCTCATACTAAGTGCTATTTTTTTCTAGAAGCTTGAACATTGTTAGATTAGCTTCACACTTTTATACAAACAGCTGAAACTGTTGTTTCCAATTAAAGTTATTAAAAGTTTCTAATTAGTTCGGTAATGATTACAGCATGAATAAAACTTTTATTTAATTATCTGTATCCTTAAGATTAATACAACCTCCCTATTCAAGCTTTATGGCCTTAAAATGAAACTAGTAGGGATAAAATGTGATAATAATAACTGGTCCGTTCAGTTCTCCTATTGAAGTCAAACTTAATTAAAAGGTGGTCACTAATTAGGGTTTCAAGACTTGGTCAGGAATTTCCCATTTTTAAAAGTTTTGACAAGAAAGAAGTAATAAAAATATTTAATGATAATCAAAGTAGATTTTAACTTAATCTATGGGGAAAAACTAAGGATTCCTCATGTTTGTTCTTTTATTAAATATATTTCTCATTTAAATTCTTTCCTGATTTTTAAAGAAGAAATGTTTAGCTAAAGCTAACTATAGCACTGTTAGCAGCTAACCTTAGCAATGGCTTAGTAGCTACCTTTTGTGATTTTAAATGTTAACTTTACCACAGCTAGCAGCTAATTTTAGCCAACACTTTGTAGCTAATTTATGTGCTGTTAAAAGCTAACTTGCTTACTTTAGCACTGCTAGCCAGAATTTGCAGAATATGAAAACTGTTGCCTTTATAGGCAGGTTAACTCAAAAAGATAAATTGCTGTTAAATGCTAACTTTACCGCAGTTTGCAGCTAATTTTAGCCTAGTTTTCGTAGCTATTTTATGTGCTGTTAAAAGCTAACTTGCTTACTTTAGCACTGCTAGCCAGAATTATCAGAAAATGAAAACCATTGCCCTTATAGGCACGGTAAACTCAAGTAGCTAAAGTGCTATTAAACGCTAACTTTAGCACAGTTAGCAGCTAATTTTAGCCTACACTTTGTAGCTAATTAATGTGCTGTTAAAAGCTAACTTGCTTACTTTAGCACTGCTAGCCAGTATTTGCAGAATATGAAAGCCATTGCCTTTATAGGCACGGTAAATTCAAGTAGCTAAAGTTCTATTAAATGCTAACTTTACCACAGTTAGCAGCTAAGTTTAGCCTAGACTTTGTAGCCAATTTATGTGCTGTTAAAAGCTAACTTGCTTACTTAAGTACTGCTAGCCAGTATTCGCAGAATATTAAAACAATTGCCTTTATGGGCAGGTTAACTCAAGTAGCTAAAAAGACAAATTCAAGATTAATTTCCCTCTTTTATTCAAATAAGAGTCTAAAACAAACGTACAGGAATTTAAGCTTAGGTACTATAGAAATATCTGGGGCTAATAATAATAATAAAAAAAAAGCAGTTTTGTGAGCAGCTGAAGAGTATCAGTGTTTTAACACATTTCTTAGCAATTAATGAATGTTAATGAATGACTAGCCTAATTTACCTTTGGGTCATCAGTAAACCTATCTAAACACAGTTTCCGCTTAAATACGCCTGCTAGTGGCCAATCTTAACATCACCTTTTTTTTCAAATGAACATTTTATTCTCATTACACTGTCACAAGTACAGCGCAACAAAATTCACTCTCTGCATTTAACCCATCCCCTTGGGGAGCACTGGGCTGCCATTTGGAACAGGGGGTTAAGGATCTTTGCTCAGAGTTGCAGTCTGTGGGATTGGGTTTCAAACTCACAACCTCAGGATTCCAAGCTCTATGCCACATAATTGAACTTTATGGATCTCACATTGGAGAAATTAACTCTCTGCATTTAACCTATCCCCTTGGGGTGTTGTGCGGTGCCCAGGGAGCAGTGTGGGATAAAGGGTCTTGCTCAGAGAGCCAGAGTGGCAGTCTGTGGGAGTGGGCCTCAAACTCACAACCTCAGGATTCCAAGCTCTATGCCCTAACCACCAGATTGCCACTCCCCTTCACAGCATCTTATCAATCAAACCATTTCCACCACATCTCTGGTCTATATTGAAATCAGACCCTTCCCTCTGGAGGCTGAGTGGGTTTTATCAGTGAATGTATCATAAATAAAATCTCAGCTAGTTTAAAATATCTCCCAAAATGAAGCTAAAGAGGTCTTCACTGGTTCAATTTGAAAAAACTTTCACCTTTTTGGTTCCTTATCAGAAATTAACAAATGTCTTTTATATTGATTTAACACATATTTATATATCACTGTACTTTGCTCAGAAATTAACTTACTTCCAGTTCAACATTAATCATCATAAATTAACTCAGAATAACAGTTTGTATCAAAATACAGTAGCAGTTATTAAACTGAATTAACAGAAAAAAGATCAATACGCTGATTTGAAAGCATTTGTTCCTGTTTAAAGTCCTCTTGAAACCAGATGTGAACAGTAAACATTATCTTCAAAATCCTTAAAATATTAAACAGACTTTCTTTGTTTCCCTGTGACCAACTCTGCATCCAATAATATTCTTCAAAATGGCTAAAATAGGTGAGTTTCACCAATGTCGACCAATCAGAGAAGGGTGATGATGCTCCGCAATCTGCTTCAAGATCACTTCAAAGGTGAACAAACCAAGTCTGATCAATCAGACACTTTCTAATCAAAGCCTGAGTGAAAAATACAGAATCGTGCAGCTAAGAACTTAAAGAATCCTAAATAAAGCAAATGTGCCAGATTATTCCCACTTAAATCTCGTAGTGCAGGTCGTTGAGCTCCAGTCTGGTGTAATGTCGCCGATCAAAGGACTCCATGGCCTTCCGACCGCCAACAGCCAAGGCCAGCGTGAGCACGGCCATCCCTAGAACCATGACGGCCACCACGCCGCCTTTCAGTGCTCCCTGCGCCGCCACCGCCTTCCCCCGGCTGGAGCTGGAGTTCAGGTTGGTGGGACCGGGCTGAAGGTCCGGGTCGGACGGGAAGGTGTCTTTGGGTATGAAGATCAAACTCGGAGGTTGAGCCGCCAATGTGGTGGTTGGTTCAGTGGTGGGGGTACTGGTCGTACTTTGAGTGGTGGTGGAAGTTGTGGTAGCCATGTCGGTTGTAGTAATAGTGGTAGTAGTGGTAGTAGTAGTAGTAGTAGTAGTGATAGTTGTGGTGGTTGTTGGATTTATGGTGGTTGTAGGGAGAGTGGTACTACTCACAGGGAAGGTGGCTGTTGTCGTGGGGGTTGTAGTAGTTGTACTGGTGGTCGTAGTGGTTGGGGCTGCTGTGGTTGTTGTGGTTTCCTGAATGCTAGAATTTGTATGCTCCTCCTCCACCCTAACAGGAAGTGAGGTTGAGGAGCTCGGGGCAGTTTGGGTGGTGGTGGATAGATGAGGTTTTCCTTTCTTGGTGGTTTTGTTTTGCTTCTTGCTGGATTTGTTGGGTTTTCTGGAGGTGAAGGTGGGAGAAGGTCCCATTGTAGTTGTTGGGTTTGTAGTAGTAGTAGTAGTAGAAGTCGTAGTAGTAGAAGTTGTAGTAGTAGGGGTAGGAGTAGTAGGTGGAGGAGCAGTAGTGGTGGTGGTGGTTGGTGGAGGAGTAGAAGTTGTAGTAGTAGGGGTAGGAGTAGTAGGTGGAGGAGCAGTAGTGGTGGTGGTGGTTGGTGGAGGAGGACCTGCAGGCACCGCGGCAGTAATGATGATGGGTACCTGAGGTGCTGTGGTGGGGGGCAGTGTCTTCGCAGTGGTTGGTGTGATGGTTGTGCTGGTGGCTGGTGTGGTTGGTGCTGTTGTGGTGGTGCTGGTGGTGGTCTGTGGAGTGGTTGTCATGATGATAGGTCTCATCGTGGGTGGATGATTTAAACCTGTGGATGAGAGGGAAAAAAACGTTAGTGACATTTTGGCCACAAGAGGGCAGCAGAGATACAGTCCACAGCATTTCTTCTACTGTGGGCCTTTTCCAGCAGGTGAAACGGAAACATGCTGGGTGTGTTTCATCGTCTGCGTCCTCCAAGGACCTGGTCTACCTGGACTGGGAGATCTGTGAAAATAAGCAGGCCGGAAGAATTTGGAAAAGGATTCAAACAGTTCCAGCCTGCTCAAGATTTTCCCCGCTTGAACACTCTGTCGCCTAGCAACCGTGACAGTTGACAAACAAAGCAGGCAAACAATGGATACCAAACTTCTCGCTGCTGTTTTGGGTGCTAATCAAATTTCTAAGAAGCTTCAGCAGCAGAACCGTCATGGTGAATATCCGATCTATAGTCCTGACAATGCAGATATACAGTGGTATGCGCTTATAGTGGTCACGGATATAGTAATCAACCGCTTATATAGATCAAAAGGCTTGGGACAGAATCGTTTCTATACAAATGCTGTTTAAATAATTTGTTTATATTAATCAAGAAATCCGCTTATAGTGTTCATTTTTGGCAATTTTATGAATGCAAAAATAATTAATAAGTAGATCGAAAGTGATGACAGCACTCCAGTTTCAGAGCCCGTGACGGATGAGGACATCATCGAGGAGGTAAAAGTGCGCTTTGGTGCGGGTACCAGTGCCACGCGCAGCAAGGAGGGGGAGGAGGATGAAGAAGAGGAGACTGTTGTCCCTCCCAGAGCGGAAATGAGGAAAGCAGTTTGCATTTTAAAGACTGGTCTCCTGCATGATGCTTTAAAAAAATTTTGACCTTTTACATCATTTTGAAAAAGAAGTGAACTTAGTGTTGGACAACACTCTGATCCGGGGAACCATGGCTAAATATGTGAACAGCACATAATAAGTTACGAAGGCTACCAGAGTTATGTCTGCGCACAACGCAGTATTCTGTAATTAAACTTGCAGTAAATGCGGAAGCTATCCGTTTAATTTAATTTTTCTTATTGAAAAACCCCACAAATGGCATTTAGATGATATTCTGCATAAAAAATAAGTGAAATAACGGTAAATTCAGTTTTAGTAATCAACAGCTTATACTTTTCAAATTGGCTCTGGATCACCGTGATCACTATTACTGTATAGTGATCACTGTATTAGAATCTGTACGTGTAATGTATGTCTGCCAAACCTATTTCCATAGGGACAGATGAAAACCTTTCAGTAAACCAAACGTTAGCCTGCCACATATCTGACTCACAAACCATTTAAAAAATAATAATTTCAGACGGAACTGTTCACGTGTGTTATATTAAACTGCACTTACAATATTCACCACTGTTTGGCGCCATTTACTCTTTTCCTCTGAGTTCGGAGCATCCGGTTTGATTGGACTCGCAATGAATCATGGGATACTCTAGGCTACGTAGGATACACCAGACTGGTCAAAAAGAAGGCCACATTTTGTCTCCCAATACAAACAGTTCATGGCGCCACGCTATGATGTAATTGGCTGATGAATCTGGCCTTCAGAGGACAACGGTAGTGAGAGGTTTCGATATCCATTCTTTGCCTGCTTTGTGTGTCAACTGTAATGGTTGCTAGGCAACAGAGCGTAAAAGGCTGCACCTCTGTGAATGAATAGCCAAAAACTCTTAGGGCCTCCTTATATTCATGCACTCGAAGGACCCAGTCCAGGTCTTTGCGGGTCCTTGGATGATGCAGCCTCTGAAATCAAATCAGTAAATGTTGCAGGAAACAGCTGATACCTTTGTAGATGTCGTACGCGTTGCTGCCCTCAGCGGCTTTCATCAGAGGACAGTCCAGCTCCGTGGGACAGTGGAACAGGAGGCAGTTCAATTCGTTGCCTCGCTTGTTCGCTCTGAACACGGCCATGTTGCACCGAGCACCTGAAGAAAAGCAAAGATCACACATTTGAGGCAAAGCTTAAACCCGAGCCACCTTTCCTAGAATAGGACCAACACAAGCTGAAATGTTCGAATAGATCCTAAACAAGCCCAAGTAAATAATGATGGACCATAAACCAACAGCATCTAGCCGGTGGTGGTAACCCACCATCCTGCTGGAGCCTCAGACCACAGGTCCAAGTCAAGTCTATTCAATTAAATTCAGTTTATTTCTATAGCGCCAATTCACAACACATCATCTCAAGGCACTTTACAGTTCATCAGATCATTCAGTCAGATTGATTCAGAGTTTTTTATCTAAGGAAAACCAGTTGATTGCATCGACTCATTGACTCTAATGCTACGTTCAGACCGCAAGCAGCAGAAGCAGCTAGTTTACATGCAAAGTCAATGGTTGACGAGCATCAAGGTGCAGCAGAAGGTCCTGCAGTGCGTTTTTTAGCAGCAGGAGCAGCGCCTCACGAGCTTCTGAGCATCTGATGTGCTTCAGAAGCAGCAGCAGCTGCTGGAGATG